CTATGGCAGAGGACTTTGGAATAGGTGCGTTCTACTAAGTCGCCCTGACACCAAGACCAAGTTGCGACAACGAGGTCAACCCTTTTCTATGAATCGAAAGGAGACTGCAACCATACCAGAGGCCACACCATTTCGGTCTTCATATCTTCAAGGCTATGCGAAATTCAATGGAAACGTCAGCTATACTCATATCATTGTGTGAAAATTATACTACCAGTCCTTTATCACCTTAAACGAATTTGGGTCAATACATTTTATATTACTTATTGACTAATAGTCTCGAAACTCTACTTAAATATGAAAAATAATAACGATTGTTATAAGAAATATACTTTTGCTTCATCGACAATCCCACAGAGAATATGATATGGCAAAAGGCCTGGCCTTCTTAGAAATTCACATTTTCCCTGTTACTCAAGGGCATTCGTGGCAATGTGGCCAAGTGGTTAACATGTAAAGCTCCCATTCTACACTGTCACGGTTCGACTCTCGCTGGGGGGGGGGTTTGATAAGACCAATGCGAGGTCGAAACTGCAGTTTACTTGTGTCTGGATGAGAAAAACTTTTGGGAAAGCAAGGCTATGTGAAATTCAATGGAAACGTCAGCTCTACTCATATCATTGTGGGAAAATCATACTACCAGTCCTTCATCACCTTACACGAAATAGGGTGAATACATCTCATTACACTGATTTACTGGTAGTTTCGACTACCAGTCCTTCATCACCTTAGACGAAATAGGGTGAATACATCTCATTATGTGAAATTCAATGGAAATATACCAGTCCTTCATTACCTTAAACGAAATTGGGTGAATACATTTCATATTACTGATTTACTGGTAGTCACACATCACCTTTACCGAAATTAGGTGAATACATCTCATATATTTATTAGTTTATTGCTTTTCACAATGAATTATATTTTTCAATAAAATTATTTTATTGGACTTATTTTCGGGACGAACTTTTCACTTCAATCAAGCTCAGAATAAAGATAATTGCTGGTTTTCGATAAAGGCATTATACACAAACTTACGAATCTTTATCAAATTTTATTATTTTATTGGATAAATGTTGATTAGACAAAATAAATTCCCTTGGGGGAATTACAGCCGTGTGGCTTTTATACGATGTTGAGGTTGACGCATTCCCCTGGCTTACTCCTTCGT